CGTTTTGCAAACGGTGAGTTGCAAGTGTTTAATAGGAGGGAGCCAAGATGTGAATGGGTTATTTTTAGCAGGAGCGCTCCCGAGCTTCCCGAACCGTGCGCGCGCAGGCGCGTGCGCGCGCTTGGCGGGGACGGGGAGCTCGGGCCCCGTACAGGCCGAGATTTGCGGGCGGCTACAGGGCGGAGTGGCCCCCATCGGGCAGGATTTGCCGATGTATGGGGTCCCGCTCGACTCCGGCAGGGACCGACGAAGGAAGTGGCCGCCGTCCCATGGGCGAGGATCAGGGCGCCTCGATGAAGGCGGCGTCCCCAGTGGCAGAAGAGGCCACACAGTGTGCTTTGGAAAACCCAGTGGAATGATGTGATGTTAAATAAAGTGTTTTAAATAAAGTGTTTTTAAAGATAAAGTGTTTACAGTGATGAATAAGTAGTACAGTAGGGGCCGGGTCGGTGGAGTTATCAAGGTGTTGGTATAGTGACCGGACGGTCACTACGGGGGGATGTTGTAGGGTAGACCGGTTTAGGATGGAGTCCCGCGGAAATGGATCATGGTTGGACGCGGCGTGCGAAGAAGGAAGCTGGAGAAGATCCAAGAAGATATATAGAAGAAGGATAAAGGACTGTATAAAAGTGGAGATGGGAGTAATAAACATTCATTCGGCAGTGTGTTCTTTCGCCAACCAACTGGCCGACGGTGTTGCTGGCTATGTGTTGACAACACTGAACGGCGATGAATCACGCGCCAGTGTTGGAAACAAGTGGCTAGCGCCGCCGCCAGTCGGACGCACGCTCGCGCGCTCAAGGTCCACCGACGGACTCCGAGAGAGCCACTGACGCACGATATCCGCTGCCGAACATGTTTGAGATCAACGAGCGAATAACGCTGTCTAATGTCCCTTTTTAGGAATATGTCCGAGGATGATCGCGTAATTATACTTCTAATTCACCGCTCACAGTGCAGTATGAGCGTTAGAAGGTTCTTTATTGTTACCAGTAACGAAGGCTATTACAGTGCTCAAGTATGCCTTGCCAACGTCCAATGGTAACTCGGTCTGAGTCCTCACTTTGTAACATGTTTCCCTACCAGCTTATGCGGTTGTTCTACTGCAGAAATGAGACTACAACAAAGGCTCTTTCAGTCACTCCTTAAGCCGATATCAAACGCTACTGATTGGTTGGATTCATCTAAACGAACACGTACGTTATAATCTGCACTGTATAAGCGCTACCGCTAACATCTCACGAACCTACCCTTCGCGATTCCTTCTATATGTAGGGTATGATGGACTTCTTCTACCTGTATCATTATCGTATCGTGGGGAGTTCTGCGGACGAAAACACAAATACAAGGCTTTGGACCACCAGATCCATAAACAAACAAACATAGCAGCTAGTGCCCTGTATATATGAAGAATACACAGTAGAGCTGGAAAGTATTCGGCCAAACGCTTTTGCGGCCGTAACAATTTTCTTAGTGGAGCAAATCGCGCAAACTTTTGATATGTTCAACAAGCATATTTCACACTATTCAGTATTATTTGGCTGCAAAGCAGCAATATCCACGCAACTAACAAGGAAGGTCTTTCAGGGCGTGGGACGCTTTTTGAAAATGGTTTTTTGCATGGTGTAGGGGCATGAGCACTGAGTATAAAACTGTGGTCCTTTTCCGCTAAATGGTCTTCTGAATACCAAAAAAGGACCGAAAATGATTTCGTCAGAAATAGCCGTTTTAACCCACTCAGCGTCGTTTGCTTCATTCATGGCGTCGACTGTCCGTAAGTAGAAGGCGCCAGTTGACTGCGCATTGAAAATAACGTGAAAGGTAGCCAAAAAAGGGGGCCACATGTTGAAAAATGTTGAAGAGTGCGGGGAGGTTTCATATACGCTCTCCACGACTAAGCTGCCAGTAGCAACGGATGGTGTGGTGGATAGCGATGTGGTCTTCGAATTGGGATGACTGGGATGGGTTGGTGGTTCGGTTCTCCGGGGCGCCTCCGCTTTTGCATTTTATGCTGCCACCTCTAGATTGGCTCCATATTGCACCAGGCCAAAGCGAGTGCCTAACTGGTCATGACTGTGACCGGGACCACCGATAACCTCTACAAGCGTTAGAATTTGATGTGTGGAACACTACCAATGGAGGACTTCCAGGCTTCACATTCCATGATATAAAAAGCTTTCACCCCTTAAGAAAATCATTCAAGCGCCAGATTGCTAGATTAACCCATTGACGACCATGCAGTCCACATGTGGACTGCAGTTGTATTTTTTGTTTTATTCATCTAATTTGCCACTTTCTTTCAATTCTTCTTCTCAAAACATTACACCAGGCCTAAATGAAACTACATACAGCGTGGTCCTAGAAAATCTTCTAATTTTGCAATTGTAAAGGTGTTTTTTTCGAATGAGTACATTACCTTGGTGAATTTTTCGTTCGTTGAACAACTTCAAAAAATGAGATATTTTGAAAAGGCGTTCGTCATCAGCATCGACCGAATGAAAAGCTTGTAAAAATTCCCCGAAACGATTTCTGGAAGTGATTAACCCGTTGCCGACCGCGCCTTTTACATTGACCTTACATTAACCTCTAATTACTCTTATAACTGTAGTTGGAAATGAATGATTCCTGGACCACGATGCTTCAAGATTCTCTAGAAGGTTGTGAGCTCAGCTGATACTTGAAAGCATGAAAAAATTTATAAGAACACCTGATAAATAATATAAATACTACAGGGGCACAATATGGTGTGGCCCGCCGGCGGGCCACGTGGTCGTCAATGGGTTAATGACTAGATGAAGGGTTTGGACGATACCCGACCCCAACATACGATCCCCTAACTCCGCGTTCTGTCACGAAGGGCTGGAAGGACACGAACAAGAAGGACATTGCTGAAGTTGAGGTGACTGTAGAAGATATTGATCGTGAAGAAAAAAGCAAATGGGTATGACCAACCAGAACAGAGCGAAATCAACACTAGGGTAAAAACGGTGAAATCATCAAAATTAGATGCGCCTTTCATCAGCTTTGAAAGAATTCGTCGAAATAAAAAAACGATCAAACCATTACTGTCCAAATTATCCGAAGAACTGTAGGGACTGTGCAATGTCCATGGAATGTCTGAAGAAACCAGATGATATGATATCGAGTTTTTTGACTACCAAGATGATGTCATACCAACATTTTACCAACTGAATAAACTCTCGATGTGAGGGATGCAAAAACAGCCGAACTGATGAAAAAACTACTGAAGAAGTTGAGGGGGGAGTGGAGGGGAAGGGGAGTTCCTGGGAGTGTGAAACCTGGAAGTCGTCCATTGATAGTGCTCGCCACATCAAATTCTAACGACTTGTAGAGGTTATCGGTGGTCCTGGTCACAACCGTGACCAGTCGAGCACTTGCTTTGCCCCTGGTATAAAATGGAGACAATCTGGAGGTGGCAGCATAAAATGCAAAATCTGCAAAGCCCCGGAGATCCGAACCATCAACCAAACCTAAACGTCCCAACTTGAAGTCCACATCGTTATCGACCATACCATCCGTCTCTGCGGGGAACTCAATCATGGAGAGTGAAACCTCCCCGTACTTTTCAACATGTTCCAACATGTGGCCCCCTTTTTTGGCTGCCGTTCACGTTATTTTCAATGCGCAGTCCACTGGCGCCTTCTACTGCGCGGACAGTCGACGCCATGAATGAAACAAACGACGTTCAGTGGGTTAAACCGGCCATTTCTGACATAATTATTTCCACTTCTTTTTTGGTATTCAGAAGGCCATTTAGCGGAAATGGACCAAAGTTCTATACTCAGTGCTCAAGCTCCTATACCATGCGAAAAACTATTTTCGAAAAGCGTCCCACGCCGTGAAAGACCTTCCTTATAAGAGGAAGGTGTTTGCTGCGGTAGTAGACTTCGCCTAAAGCAAAGTTAACGACGTCTGCAGTTATTCGCACCTTATGTGCATTTATCTCCTTTACTGTGTCCGGCATTAGCGCTCGTACACTTTGTAAATGGCAAAGTGAAAAGAAATCCTAGAAGTACCAGAGTCCCTATTTCCAGCTGTTTTTAAGTTCAGGCTCTTTGGGATATCTGGAACATGATCATATTGCAGTTTAACGGTGGTAAATATTCACAAAACATCCATGCTACACATATTGAAATCTCGCATTACTGATCCAATAGGAAAGAAGTTACGACTGAAAAGTACGAGGGAAGAAGCATTCGACCGAATACTTTCGAGCGCTACTGTATATTACAAAAATACGAATGTGTATAAAGGAAAGTCTTTAGCGCCAATCAATTCCATTCGGGACTGCTCTGTATCCAATGCGAGCACTTTATCTGTATGTGCAAGAGTTGCATATGCTAGAACTGCTAGCCACATCGGTATAGGCCCTCATCAATCAATTTAGTAAGATTTTAAAATCGAGGACCTTGCAAAAATTTTTAACACACTTACTTTCGTCAGCTATTCTTTTGTTATCGACAATAAGATTGTACGCTATTGAAAGATGATGATGTGGATCATCACCAAGGAGAGCTGCAGTGACTTCCTCTTCAGGCACATTGTAGCGCTATAAATCTATTTAAGAACAAAAATATCACGACAGATTGAAACAATGACCATAACAGCAATTGTACGTAAGGGTAACGAAAGAATTGAAAAAACTCGGACTCTAAGAATAAAAAAAAAATAAGTCATGGGGCTCGCCACGCACACATACACGTTACTGGGCACCGCTTTAGCTTCCTATAAAAAAACCATACTCGACAATTATTCGGACTATTTAGCAGAAAAAAAACACTGATTTGAAAAGCTCGTACACATTAGGGAATATGCAAAATTATACATAGCGTTTTTTAAGACAAAATTTGTCAATGCTGAAGCAGCACAGATCAAACACTAGGCCTACGCCAATTCTTCGGCGAGACTTATGGTAGTATTTGCGCACCCAATGTAATTAGCAATAATTGAAAAGAAATGAAGAAATCAAGTGAAGAGAAGTATTATAAAAAGGTGGAATGACGCTTACCTCAGTAACTTCACGCACAGCTTCGATGTCCACTATAGAGGCTTCAGATTCGTTCACAGGTGGGAACAAATAAGCAGGCAAATCCTTTTGGAACCATTCGTGGGCACTAAAGCATTTCTTGAGAAGTGGACATCATATGATTCGAAAAAAAGAATTCGGGAGTCAGATATGCCGAACATAAACCCACATAACATCTTTGATAGTAGCTCTCTTCATTGGATCGACCATTAGCATGTGCAAAAGCAAATTGACCAAGGGCTTGTCTAAGTACTCTGGTATGGGAAAAACTCCGGCTAAAAAGTTGAGAATACTAGCATCATTAGAGAAATCGCCTCCCATAAATTGACCCTGAGATTGTTGTAAGAGAAAGAAAAGGAAAGTTCATTCGAAAGGATTGTGCAGCAGGACCGCAAATTTCATATCTTGAAAGAAAAAACATACATTTTATCTTTCTGAACAGCGTGGGAACATGTTCGTCATCGAAAGGAAGAGTACCGCAAAGCAGAGCGTAAAGTATTACACCACAAGACCACACGTCCACCTCGGGTCCAGCATAGAGCCTGTAGACAGAAATTGTTTATGGAGCTCCACTGATTTCAAATTGTTACACTTCACCTATGAGCAAAGCCCACAGGTTACCAATCAGTATGTTGTGACAGTATACTACGACGAACCGATTAGTGATTCACTTTTTTAACGTTTTCCTTTAAGGAAAGTCAGCTGTATCTATAATACCTACTTGCCGCTGATTACTTCAGGTGCAGCATAGTTTGGCGATCCACAACTTGTCCGGAGAAAATCACCATCCGTCATAATGTTAGACAAACCTCAAAATTATAAGATTAGAGTACAAAAAATACCTCTTTTTATGCACAGAAGGATATTTTACCGAAGTCAGCTATTTTCACATTGTTGTGCTCGTCTAGTAAAAGATTCTCTGGTTTTAAATCCCTATGCACGACCATATGTCTGTGACAGTAATCTACTCCAGATATGATTTGCTGAAAGAATCGGCGGGCCTCGGGCGTTTTAAGCTGAAATTCTACCATGACGTGCATGCCTTTTGGCGAAAGGATGAATGGCAGTCAAAACCTACGCGACCATGCTTGACAATGTAGTCGAAGAGTTCGCCACCTGATACGTATTCCATTATCATGAATATATCAGTAGGAGTGCTTATTACCTGATACCTAAAACAGTTTCTGTATTCTCCGCGAAAAAAAAAAAACTACTAAGCATGTTTCACCTTTTGCAAGCTAAACATTTTTTGTCTCTAAGCATTCTGTTCAATAGCTATAACAGCTACAACATCAAGATTTTCACTAGCATTATGTCCTGCAATTTGTAGGTTGCAAAAAGTATCCAAAAAGTCAATGCAAAGAGTCAAGTTCCGTGGCTATTTTCCAAAGTAAAAAGTGATTGCTTATGTAAAATGTCCACAGCTTCCTCAGTAGCGAAATAAATATGTCTCGTGTTGATCAACAGTTTGTTTAGGTATAATGCTCCTCAAATGGGAAGAAAAATGTAACAATCGGAAACGCAGAAATAAAAATTGAATTTGTGAAAAGAAAAGGGAACTTACAGCCGAATTATATGTGGATGACGGAATAAAGAGAGATTTTGTATCTCCCGTCTGATCTTTCCAACTACATCTAGAGTTTTGATCTTCTGGCGATTGAGGATCTTCACTGCTACTTTATAACCAGTGGCTTCATGGATTCCAACTAAAAATAGCAGATTACATGTGGACAACTTGTATCCATTTTAAGCTGCGAGCATTTAAACTCCAAGCTTTTCGTACTGATCTTGGTACTGCCGACGAGATAAAACTTCATAAATACTGTGACCTTGGTCACTTTAAACTGATACAGAACCTAAGCGGGTAACTCAGAACAAAACAGTATTTCCTGAGTTCTAGGTTGAGACTTTCGTCCACATTACAATTCGTTACTCTGCAACTTCTCAACGGGTCACACGCTATCATTTGTGAGGAAGAGGTTGTATCGATCGGACTCAGTAGCACTATCACTCAAAGGCATCTTTCATAGTCCACGACCGGTACCGGTCGAGGAGGCCGCGCTAGTTATGGGTGCCGCCGCGGACGGTCCCGCGCGATCAGTCGAGCGACCAGTCGCTAGCGACCGGCGACCAGTCGCGCGATCGGTCGCCGGTCGCTCGTGAGATGGGTCCGCGACCGATCGCGC